GAGACCTTCGCTCTGATACCATGTCAGAATCCCAGCCACTAACCACTGGGATAAAAGGGCTTGTTAATATAGCGGGTGAGTGCGCCCATAACCCCCCAGGCCGACGTGCCTATAACCCTGTTAAACTGTATTATGCTTGTAGGCTGTAGTGGGGTAGCCAATATGGGGTACAACCCCAACTAGGGTTTCATATTTGTACCCAAACTTCTGCTAGTTCATTCATTCTTGCCTAGTGATTCTGACATGGTATTCAGAGCAGGAGGTCCCTAGGACCTATCGACCGTTTCTTTTAAGGGCCCACCACCGCTCGCATGCGGTTACCACGCTACCCCGTTCCCTAGCCTCGTAGCGCCCTCGTGCGCCCTCGTTAGCGCCCTCGCGCGCACCCTCGTTAGCGCCCTCGCGCGCACCCACGTCAGCGCCCTCGCGCGCCCCTTCGTTAGCGCCCTCGCGCGCCCCTTTGCTAGCGCCCTCGCGCGCCCCTTGCTAGCGCCCTCGCGCGCCCCTCACTAGCGCCCTCGCGCGCCCCTCACTAGCGCCCTCGCGCGCCCCTCGCCGAGCCGCCCGCTCGCAGCCCGCCCGCCCGCTCGCTGCCCGCTTCGCGGCCCGCTCGCTACGCAGCCCGCCCGCCCGCTCGCTGCCCGCTTCGCGGCCCGCCCGCTTCGCAGCCCGCTCGCTCGCTGCCCGCTTCGCGGCCCGCCCGCTTCGCAGCCCGCTCGCTCGCTGCCCGCTTCGCGGCCCGCCACTTCGCAGCCCGCCCGCCGCTGCCCGCTCGCGGCCCGCCCGCCTCGCAGCCCGCTCGCCCCGCTGCCCGCTTCGCGGCCCGCCCACTTCGCAGCCCGCCCGCCCGCTCGCTGCCCACTTCGCGGCCCGCCCACTCGCAGCCCGCCCGCTCGCGCTGCCCGCTTCGCCCACTTCGCGGCCCGCTCGCATCGCAGCCGCTCGCCCCGCTGCCCGCCGCGCCTGCCCGCTTTGCGGCCCGCCCGCCTCGCAGCGTCGCCCGCCCACCGTGCTGCCCGCTTGCAGCGCCGCCTGCCCGCCGCGCTGCCCGCTTCCCGGCCCGTCCGCCGCGCTGCCCGCTCGCAGCGTCGCCCTCCCGTCGCACTGACCGCTTGCAGCGCCGCCTGCCCGTAGCGCCAGCCTCGCCCGCTGCTCTCTATCCGTGCACAGTCGTCTTCCCCTGCTGCGGCAGCTTGCGTTACTCTGTCACACTGTCGCTATGGCTTCCATTCGCGTGCTGTCGTTCGATGCTGAGGGCCGCCCTGTGCGTTTCACCGCTTGGCTAGATGACCTGCAGCTGTTTCTCCTGAGCGATAGCAAGGAGCATGTGTCGCTCTATGACTACGCGTCTGGTGCTGCGCCTGCCCCTCCTGCCACAGCTGAGCTTAGTGTTCGTTCCCACTGGCAGACTCGTGACGCAGCTGCTCGCCTAGCCATTCGCAGTCACCTGCCGTTAGCTGAGCTAGAGCATTTTGGCGACTGCAAATCCGCTAAGGCCCTGTACGACGCTGTCGTCGCTCGCTACTCCTCGCCTGCCACAGCCGAGCTTAGCCGCCTCATGCTGCCGTACCTGTTCCCCGATCTGTCCACCTTTACTACAGTCGCCGATCTTATCACCCACCTTCGCACTAGTGATGCTCGCCTGCGTGCCGCCCTTCCCACCGAGTTCTGCGCTAAGAACCCCCCTCCACTGTACTGGACACTCCACTTCATAGTCACCCGTCTCCCTGACACCCTCCGCTCAGTTCGAGACCACTTCCTTGCTCGCTGTCCCACTGAGCTCACAGTCGCCCTCCTAGAGGAGCACCTGCTCGCGGCCGAAAAGAGCATTGTAGCTGTCGGTGCTGCTCGTGGCGCTCCTCGCACCCCCATCTTTGAGGGGTGTTCTCCCTCTCCCCTCGCTCCCTCCTACGCTGCTGCTGCTGCTGTTGACTTCCTTGGTGCTGAGTCTGTTGGCGCTGCTTCTACTCCTGGTGGGAGGCGCCGCACCGGCAAGGGCAAGGGGGGCAAGGGTGGTGGTGGTGGCGCTGGGGGGGGAGGAGGTGGGGGAGGTGGGGGGGGAGGCGGTGCTGGAGGGAGCGGTGGCGGGAGCGCTGGTGGGAGTGGGGTCGGTGGTGGAGACGGGGGCGGCGGAGGGAGCAGTGGCAGTAGTGGCGGCGGCGGCGGTGGCGGCGGCGGTGGTGGCGGTGGTGGCGGTGGCGGTCGGAGCGGTGGTAGTGGTGGCGGCGGAGGTCGGAGTGGAGGCACTGGCTCTGGCCAGAGCTCCCAGCAGCAGCAGCGTCCCCAGACGACCCAGCAGCTTCGTGAGTGGCTTGCTCAGCGTGGGACGTCGGGGGCCAGTGCCCGCTGTTCTTATGTCATTCGCACAGGTGACCGCAAGGGACAGACGTGTGGGAGGTTCCACACCCCGTACCGCTGCTTCTCCCGCCTTGACGACGCTTGGCGTGAGGAGATGGGTGCGGATGTTGAGCGCCCCCGCTGGGCTGAGCTCATGAGGGCTGGTGTTGATGTCTTTGCTCTTGACTATGATGCTATTATTGCTGCCATGTATGCATTGACTGTTAGTGCCGAGGGAGACTGTTACTTGTGTGTGCCGCCTGACCCAGGTATAGAGCCCGCTGCCCTGGGTACTAGTGAGTCTGCTCTCTCTGGTATGGTGCCCCCTGTACTTGCTCCCTCCAGTGCTGTCCCGACTGGTTTCGAGTCTGCTCTCTCAGGTACAGCACCCACAGAGACTGCTCTCTCAGGTACCGCACCGGCTGAGGCCTGTCACACCTTCACCCTTGACTCAGGTGCTTCCCGTTGCTTCTTTCGTGACAGTACTGAGCTCACACCGCTTCCTGCACCGGTCCCAGTCTCCTTGGCTGACCCCTCTGGGGGCCCAGTCCTTGCCCAGTCCACCACTGTCCTCCCTTGTCCGGCGGTTCCGTCTGGCTCGTTGTCGGGTTTCCACCTCCCCTCGTTCTCGACGAACCTGGTGAGCAACGCTGTCCTCCAGGATCAGTGGGTTGACACCTTTACCCCTGGCGGACAGCGTGTGGCGATCTGCACGTGCTCCAAGACCGGCCGTCACCTGGCTACGTTCACCCGTCGGCCGGGGTCGAGTCTCTACACACTGACCACTGCGTCTCCCCAGGTAGCTGCTGTCGGTCAGGTGTCTGCGTCAGGTCTGGTGGCCCACGCCTGTGAGTGTCGTTCCCTGTCGCACCAGACTCTTCTCTGGCACCACCGCCTGGGTCACCCCTCCTTGCCACGCCTTCGTGGCATGCACCGTCACCACCTTGTGTCCGGTCTTCCCAGGTCCCTCCCTCCCCTCCCTGCCTCGCCTGCGCCGCCCTGCCTTCCTTGCGTCGAGGGGCGGCAGCGCGCCGCTCCTCACTCCTCCTCGTTCCCTTCCACAGAGGCTCCTCTGGAGACCCTCCACCTGGACGTGTGGGGCCCAGCCCGCGTTCGTGGTCAGGGCGGTGAGCGGTATTTTTTGCTGGTTGTCGACGACTACTCGCGTTACACCACGGTCTTCCCCTTGCGCACCAAGGGTGAGGTCCCTGCTGTTCTGATCCCTTGGATCCGCACGGTTCGTCTCCAGCTCCGCCGCCGTTTCCGGACAGATCTTCCTGTCCTGCGTCTGCACTCTGACAGAGGTGGTGAGTTTTCCTCCGACCTCTTGAGGACCTTCTGTCAGGCGGAGGGCATCGAGCAGACCTTCACGCTTCCGGACTCCCCACAGCAGAATGGGGTTGCTGAGCGTCGCATTGGCCTGGTCATGGAGGTCGCTCGTACCTCCTTGGTCCACGCGGCGGCTCCCCATTTTCTGTGGCCGTTTGCTGTCCGGTACGCCGCGCATCAGCTCAACCTCTGGCCCCGTGTCTCCTTGCCGGAGACCTCGCCCACACTGCGTTGGACGGGGAAGGTTGGCGATGCGTCGCGCTTCCGGGTGTGGGGTGCTCGTGCCCTTGTCCGCG